AAAAAGAGTCGAGCAACGTAAAATACCTGCAGAGAGACACGAGGAGATATAAAGCAGCTACAAGGAGACACAAAATGATCACAGAAGGAGATAAAACAAGCAGAAATAGATGCAAATAAACAAAACTCCGACACAGAACGTCTGCAGGGAGACACGGCAGGACCAGGACGAGATGTAAAGTCACAAAATGACCACAGACAGACGGGAAAGGGAGATGAAACAGCTTTCAGTGTGCACTAGGCTTTTCTGTTGGATGTGATGCTGACGCGCTCTTTGTTGGACGCTGTAGTCGTGCTCTGGCGTCAGCAGGGATCGTAATCTGGGTGAAAGTTGTGCTTCCTGCCTGCTCTGAACCCGGCGCTGCCAGTAAGTCATCAAAGCGTAATGCCGGTTTTATTCCGGATGATGTCGGCTCTGTGGCTGCGTTCATGAATGTTTGATCGACTCGGGGATGATCCTCGGCGCTGTGGGCGTCCTCCTCTCCTCCCTCTGGTTTCTGCTCGCCACATTTCAACTCTTCTGTCAGCCGAATTCTCGTTTTTCATCATCTCACGTCGTTCTCGGCTGTCGGCTGCGACATCAGGCTTCGCTTCTGACTCGTACAGAAGACAGCGAGTAGATTCTAGTCGCCGCTGGAACAATCTGTCTCTACAACCGCCGCCTGTCAAACGGAGGAACTTTATCGACATAAACGAAGCATAACTGAACTCAAACGAGGTTGCTGCGTTCGTTCAGGGCGTTATTTTTTAATCACGCCAACACACAGTACAGCTGTAAAGAGACACACAATGACTGTAAAGGTGCACAAAAATTAATATAAAGAGACGCAAAACTATAGAGAAACTCAGAAGTTACTATAAAAAGATTACAGAGACACAAAATGACTGTGAAATTAGTTAAACATGCCATGAAAAGGGGTTTGCAAAACAACTTCAGACACTGAACAAATCCAAAGAGAGACAAGAGATGCAAACCAACCACAAAGAGAGACAAAACTGCTATGAAGACACGCAAAACCAAGGTGTAGGCACAAAAAAAGACTGGAAAGGGATGCAAAATAACTAAAACCACCAGAAATGGATGAAAACACATCATAAAGAGAAACGACACGACTTCAGTGACTCCAAAGACAGACAGCATGTCCAGAAATCAAAGCAACACAGAGAACTTAAGCAGAACCTCTGCACAGAGGACGTACAATTCCTACAGAAAGACACAAAAAAGCCACAAAGAGACACAAAAAAGCCACAAAGACATAAAACAACTGGAAGCAAATCGACCACAAAGAGAAACGGATNGTTTACGGAGCAGCGTTCGTGCTGAAATGAAGAAATCGCCTGATGTTCAGACTTTGTTTTAACATATAGAACAGCTTTTTCATAAACTGGGGCTTTGAGGCGTCCTGGTTTTTGGCGTGCGATTAGTTTGGGCAACACGCAGCAGGTGTTGGATGCCAAATGATAATTAGAATTATCATAATTATATCCACTTACGAATCCCCTGATGGCGCTTGTCGTTAAAACAATGAGTAACGTCACACAGTGGGCAGATTGAGATGCAGCTGGTTTTTCCCTCCTGTACCTTAATAGTGTTTAATAAACCATGACAGAGAGTCATAGTTTAATCTTTAGTCTCCCAGTAAACTGTAAACCTGACGCTGTCCTTCAATAAGCAGCAGCTCGTTACAAACTTCATTTCATAGCTAAGCGATGTCTCGTGGTCGTGTTGTTTTCAGTTTGTTGAAATTAAATCAGAAAGTTGGCGCAGATCCCTCCAACAATGACCATTCATGTGCAGATTTTCTAAAAGCACAGATCAAATTTGCACTTCAGAGTCTGTTTTTTTTTGTTTAATGTTTACGCATTCCTCTGAATTAATTCTTGGAGTTGGCGGAGGGTTTTGTTGCGCCTGTGTTTGTGAGTCTCAGGTGTATTTTCAGGTGCTGTTTTTGTTTATCCGCTCGAAGAGAGGCTGTTTACTTCACTGACAGCAGTAATAGGAGTGAAAACGCCGGCGTCTCCCTCTGCGCCGGCTCGATTCTTCATCTTCTGCCATCTGCAGCTGAATTGTTGGAAGCTGCTCGTGTCATTATTGATGCGACAGATGATGGAGGAAAATAACATCATTCTCTGCTGGTGTCTGTTTTTTTTTTTTAAGGATCTAAAGCTCGTGGAAGTCCAGACAAAGCGAGAGAGTAAACACAGAAGAGAATATCTTATCATGAAGGAACTGAGAAGTTGTGCACACTTTACCTGCACAGGTGATACACTTGTGACGGTTAAGGAGCAGCAAAGAACAGATTTTAGCTCCAGCTGCTGCACAGCTTCAGTCTTCTGTAATTGCTGCAATTTCAGGCTCCGCTTTTACTAAAAGCGTCTTTGGAGCCTCGTATGACTCTTAAAATAAAACTTTTCTCGTGAAGCAGCACTTAAACAANAACACATCAAATTATTATTTTTTCTATGATTTTTCTAGATATCATCTGTATTATAACAAAATGTGGAATATCTGTAAAATATCAGGTAAATAAAAATATACTGGTATAAAATCCGGAGCTGAACAGCGCCGTGAGATCTGTCCTTCATGTCCTCACCGTCGCCCCAAGAGGCTGCTGGACTGAAATTTTAATCGCACTTACACGACTTTAAGCTCCAGAAGCGATGGAAATCCTCGAGGGCCTGATTTCTGATGCCGTGAAGTGTTTTGTGACGACGTGAGCGCTCCGTGTGTTCCAGTGTGTGTGGTGTGAGTCGGTCAGACCTGCTTTCTGTTGCCCCACTTTATATTTTTAGCCGGATGAAATGTGTCTGGGCGTCCACGCCGACTCCTTCTGCTTTCATTGTTCCTCTCGTCCCACTTTCACGTGTAAAAGCTTCACTTTGCGTCTTTGCTTGGGCGTGACGTGGGAGGTCAGAGAGCTCCACTCTGATCTATCCCTGCTGCCATCGCGCCACCAGCTGAAGGATTATTTGTTGTCGAGCGCTGCCTTTGTCTTCAAACAGATCTGGAAGAAGGAGTCGCTCCTTATGTCTCAGTCTGTCAGAGAACGAAGGACTCGTTAGTGTCTTGATAAGGAGAAATTTCCATCTTAAAGTCACGGCTTGTGTTCTGCCTGTGGTTTGCATCTCTGAGTTTTCCCAACCTTCTGAACGAAAATCAATCCAAAGAGGCGACACAAGCTGTAGAGAGACTCAAAAATGCTGCAAAGAGACAAAAAAGACCCCAAAGACATACAAAACAAGTGTAAAGAGACACAAAATGGTATAAAGACACGCACAATGAATGCAAAGACACAGTGAAGGCAACAAAGAGAGAAAAGACAGCAGGGGGAAAAAAATGACTGTAAAGAGGCACAAAACTACTTCAGACAGACACAAATCTACATCAGAGGAAAAACACAACCAGAAACAGACGTAAACTGACCACAAATAGACACTGAACCGCAAAGGGACACAAAACAACTTCAAACAGACACACAAAAAGACCCCAGAGAGATGCAAAACAGCTTCAAATGGACACAAATCCGCTGCAAACAAACACAACACAACCAGAAATGGCTTCAAACCGAGCACAAAGAAACACTAAACAACTGCACAGCAACACAAAACCACTGCAAAGACACACAAAATGACAGCAACAAGAACAGTGACTGGAAAGAGACACAAAGTCACTTCAAGAAGATGCAAAACGGCTGCAAAGGGACACCGATCCTCTGCAGATACACAGGACACAAGCAGAAACACACAGAGACACTACACAACCACAAGGTGACAAAAACACAAAGGACTGCAAAGGTACGCTAAACAACTTCAAAGAGACAAAAAAAAAAAGAGCCCAAAGGGGCACAAACACTGCAAAGATACAATAAAAGACCCAAGAGAGACACAAAACAACTTCAAAAAGACCCAAAACAACTTCAAAGGTGCACAACTCCACTGCAAATCAACACAACACGAGCAGGAACGCATTCAAACAGACACACAGAGACACAAAACCACTGCAAAGAGACCAAATATACATGACAAAGAGACACAAACTCATCTCAAAAACAAACAAACAAAAACCAAAACTGCAATGACACCCAGAAAAACTGAAGAGATGCAAAACTGTAAAGATGGTTGGAGACGAAGTCGCTGCAAAGTGAGACCGAACCACCATAAATGATGCAGACGGAGCAAAGAAACTACGACTTTTAATCCTGAACTCATTCGTGTGTTCTGACCACAGACTGTATAAAAGATGGACGTAGCTACCGTGACGTCACCCGTTGGTTTCTGCNTTCGTTTTGAATCTTTGGTGGACATTTTGTGCGTCATTTTCTAAACATTTTGTGTGCCTCATTGTGGTCACTTTGTGTATTTTTCTAGTTCTTTTGTCTCTTTAGAGTTTTTTTTAAAAACTTTTTAACGGACATGTTGTTCGTCTCTGTAGCTGTCAGCATCTCTTTATGTGTGCAGTGGTTTTTCATCCCTTTAAGGTTTTTTTTTGTGCCTCTGTGGTTTCTTTGTGTCTGTTTTTATTAGTTTTGTTGTGGTGTTATGTGTAGCTGAGGTTGTTTTGCACGCTTTTTTTTTAGTTATTTGATCTATTTGTAGTCGTTCTGAGTTGTGCTGGTGGTATCTTCATGTCTCCTTGCAGTTGTTTTTGTTTTGGCTCTGTGGCTGTTTTGTCTTTTAAGTGGTTTTATTTCTCATTGTGGTCATTTTGCATCTTTTTGTAGTTCTTTCGTCTCTTTTTAGTATTTTTTGTTCTGTTTTTACCACTTTTTGGTCTCTTTTTAGTAATTTTGTGATGGTTGCATGTTTTTCAATCAATGTCTGAGATGTTAAAATAAAATAAACTAACATACACATAAACAAACGTGTCCATTCATTCTGGTTTCATGTTTGTCCACACTGTGACTCATTTGGACCTCTACTGAGTTAGACTTTCTCTCTCACACTCTGATCCATCCTTTGACTCTTTGTATCTCCGTTCAGACTTCCTGTCCCGCCTCCACCATGAGTGACATCTACGAGTCCGCGGCGAACTCTCTGGGTTTGTTCAGCAGCCCCTGCCTCACCAAAGTGGAGCTCCGCCTCACCTGTAAGGGCATCTCAGACCGGGACGCTCTGTCCAAGCCCGACCCCTGCTTCGTCCTCAAGATGCAGTCTCATGGCCAGTGGATGGAGGTACGTTGTCATGGCAACCCTGCCAACTTTATCCCCTTCTTCTTTTAGTTTTGAGTTTATGAACTGCTGTAAGCTTGCAAGGCGATGTAATTTACCTTCATTCATTCTGGCTGAGGTGAGTCTGTGCTCATTTTGAATTCTCCTGTTTTACTTATTACAGTCGTTTGGTTTGTCTTGATTCTCAGTTTTCTGTCTTCAGCCTTTAGGGCCTGTCAGACTGTTTGTGTTTCAGGGGTTGTTTTTAAATCGACACTTAATCATCAGTCATGCATACAGTCTTGGTTTGTTTATTTATTTGACCATTTGTGGGCATCAGAACAAGTTGCAAACACAACATGTTAGCACCTTATGAGTGAATGTGGTGAACTTCAGGAGAAGTCCAGCATTGGTGCTTGTTTTAGCTCTGTCTTTGGGCTCCACCTCTTCCTGAGGGGAAAACTCGGCTAACTGTTTGTTAATGTAGAATAGTCTGTATCTATGAGATCGTGGCCTTTAGGTCAGAGAAGTGAAGCTTTAAAGCTGCTTTGTTTCAGCCAGCAGGAGGCGAGACTTCAAGTTGTATAAAGATCTAATTGTGTAGATCAGGGGTCGGCAACCTTAAACACTCAGAGTCATTTGGACCCGTTTCCCACAAAAAGAAAACACCGCGAGCCACAAAACCCTTCTGACATCTAAAATGAAGATAACACTGCATATATGGTTTTTACCTTTATGCTATGTATAAAAAACTATTACTAGTGCGTTGCATTTATGAAATCAATGAACTGCTGCAGAGAAAACAATTTATTTCTGCAACAAAAACATTTTGACCGCCGAAAAAAAGAGACGCCTAAAATAGTGTGTCTGTTTGAGTCCTCCTCGTTTATATGAAATAAAAAGCCGAACTTAAATGATCCACTTGCAGCAAAGTAGAACAGCGTGTGGTCGGCCTGCTGACTGCAGCTGGACTGCTGACCAGACCAGTGATGTGCGGTGAGGTTCATGGCTGCTGAGGCACTGACTTCATCAGGATCTGATTTACAAACACATGCACTCTACACAGCAGCATATTTGTCATTTGATTGGCAGCAGTTTACGGGTTATGTTTCAGGGGTTGCCCACCACTGGTCTGGTCTCTTGCTCAATTTTACAGAAAGGTTTTCTTTTTTTTTGTAAATATATATAAGACATTTACAATCAGAATCTGAATACTTTATTGTCATTCATACAAATTACATCAAGGCTACACTGTAGAGCGAAATGACAATGGGTCAGCGATAAAAAAACACACACAGTTCAAATAAAACACACAGTTCAAATAAAACACACACAGTTAAAACACCTGAGATCAATTAAATAATGTTATAAATACTGTTGAGGTCGTGCAGTGAGTGGAAATAAACACATTCTATGAGAAAAAAGGACTTGATTTAAGAAACTTGACGACAAATTTTGCTGTTCAAGTTAAAAAATGACTTATTTGAGTTTTTTTTTTTTTTTTTTAAATGTCATATGTAATAAGACAATGAGCTGTAGATTGTTTAAGAGGCAGTTTGTTAATTGGATTCAGGCTGTAGAATGTATGAATGTGTTTGAGAAGAAACTTTCAGAGCAAACTAACAAGAGAATGAGTGAAATGTTTCTGGAGCCTGACCAGTTAGAACTGAGCTGAACTAAGTGGCCATAATGAGATAAACCAGGAGTTGGAGCTGATTTCTTCTACCAAACAAACATTTCTCCTGCTCTGCTGTTTGTGGTTGATTTGTGTCCGCTGTTGCAGACTCTCAGTCGTGTTTGTTCCTGGAGATAAATGGACATTAGCCTCTGTGTTGACGCAGTCTGTGGTGCATTATCAGATTCCCGTCGCGTTAATGTCGCCGCTGCTGATTTAATGGATGAGAGTGCTGTTCACCTGCAGCCAGGAACATCTGTCCTGCTGCTGGGCTGTCTGTAGCTGCACGACTAAAGCCCCGTCAGGTTAAACTGCCCTCACAGTCGGCTGTCAGCTGATCAGCGATGCTTAATTCTGCCCTGCGTGTTGGCCTCCGTGCTGTTTTCAGGTCACATCCTGAAGCTCTTTAATGGGCTGAACAGTGCTGAGAGGGAACCGAGCTGCTGAGTGAAAACAGCGAAATAAAGCGAGCTAAAGAATTCAAAGAAAATCAACCTGCATGCCGCTGACTGGACTTGGTCTTCTTTCCATCTCGTTGTGTCTAACTTCTCTCCTGCCTCGTGTCTCATTCTGCTGCTATGAGTCAGATTGAAAACAAATCAGCCGAGGACCTTAAAAAGAAAACACTCAGCACTTANACCTATTTCTGTATAGATTCTTTTGTATTTTTAAGTTACAGACAATAACTAGTAAAATAGGAGAAAAAGGGATTAATTTACATGATATCGTTCTACTTTTACAAATGGCTATTTGCTCTTTTACAGCTTCTGACTGTAGAATCTCGCTGCCTTCATGCATTTAAAGCAGCAAAGAAATCATACTGCAAATATTTGCTGTTATTTAAAACAAAATGTGTGTTTGTTGAGGATTGAAAAATGAGAATTATTCAACAGATTTTCCCTGTTTTTGTTCAATTACAGATAAAACAAAAGATCCATGTTAATCATAAGAAAAACAGTTTAAATAACGTCCACATGAGAAATCTTTATTTTTATAGATGGTAATTTGGTGTGATTTTACATTTGTAATTATGTGAAGAATAACTTTATTTTTTTTAAGTGTAAGTATAACTTTAGTCGTATTGTAGTAATTTACTGTTAATTCCTATTTTTTCCCTCGTTTTGATAATTGATGACAACATCCAGTGAAAGAAAAAAAAAAGTTCTTAATTTACACATTGATCGTAAAAAGAAAACAGACTGTAAATAATGTCAAAAACTCGTCATTTGTTCTTTTACAGCTACACACTTTGATTGTGTTTGAATCAGCAAAAAAATATAAATATAGAATATTTATATTTGTTTTTGTTTTTTTCATGCAGATTTTTGGTCATCATAGTATTCTGTTGTTTTTACACGTATTTATTCTGGCGCCCTTCCTGTCAGATTTTTAACATTTTTTTTTGTTTTGTTTTTTTAATGGAAACACATCTTTAGTTAAAAAAAACCTGTTTTATAGTGAAAGTTGTGTCGAGCAAGTTTGTGAACATATGGTGTCCCGTGAGTTCTCCTGTTCAGCTCATCCAGCTCTGACTGGTACAAAACGATGACTAGAAACAAAACAAGAGCTGTTGTGTTGTGTTGTGTTGTGTTGTGTTGTGTTGTGTTGTGTTGTGTTGTGTTGTGTTGTGTGGGATCTGAGCTGGCACCTCGTCTGTGTTAGAATCCACTCGTTTCTTTTAGAGCAAACTATTGAAACGTTTGTCGGTGTTGCTGCGACAGAAAGCCGTGACTGACGACAGTTTGTGTGCATCATCAGGACCTTGTCTTTGTCTTCAGATCAGACTGTTGGTGAACCTGCGGGAGGTTTCCGTCTCCTCTCTGAGTCAGCGCAGCTCCCAAACGCTAACTTTTTAAAACCCATCCAGCAGGAAGGAACGCAGGGTTTCCTCTCCTCCAGTGTTGGACTTCTTTACAGCTGATTCAGATGAATTTAAAGCGGCCAATTAAAGCGTCTTTAATTAGAGCGTGTTGAGGAGCTCCAGCCTGAACGCCATCTGTCTGCGAACACGACGACGAAGAGCCGCCTTTGGACAAAACACTTCGACTGCGTGCAGCTTCTCAGCAGCTCGCCGCTAATTTAGGTCCTCATCAGTCTGTCGGATCCGTCTCACGTCCTGAACGTGCAGAATAAAAACATGGGTTTGATTTCTATCCAAGTGTGTCTGTGTTTTGTGTGCGTGGAAGCTGGAGTTTATTGTTTGCTGTGAAACAAGTCGCTCGGTGGTTAAAACCTGAATCATACAGTTCTCAGAATTCTACACTGAAGCTGCAAATATGTAAAACTAGAAGTTCTTGAGCTGCTGGTTTGTGTCGTCTTCCAGATCTTCTTCTAATTTAGTTATAACTGAGTGCACAATGTGTTGATAGTTTAATTTCCAGGTTGGAAACCGANTGGTTCTGACTGAAAATAAGAAACCAAAAGGTCGGCGACACAAGCTGAGTTCTTATATATGAATCTCATTTCCTGGTTCGGTGTTGGCACAAAAGCGATGTGGTTCGAGTTGGAAAACTGATATGCTTTGTTCGACACCTTTGCTTGTTAAAAGCTCGGCTAACGGAGGAGGAGATTCTGTAGAGACTGCTTTGGCTGTTATTTTATTTTGTGTCATATTTAGTTGTTTTGTGTCACACTTTGATGAACACAACCACAGCTAGAAGGAGAGAGAAACGTCCTCTGTGCAGTGTGACAGTTATAATCATAAATGAAGAAGCGGCTCCTGTTAGACTCCAGCTAACCTGTAACCTGTCAGCAGCATCCGTCAGACAGACGCTCTGCGGTTTGTAGTCGCTGTTAAATGAGCTGTTTTCTCCTGTTTTTCTCCTGTGAAGCAGCGACAGCAGGAAGCTCTCCTCCCTTCAGACTTGTTAAAAACTCGAGGCGGAGTCTTTAGAGAGCTGTGGGCTAAAGCTTTATCTGCCCACCGCAGACCAACCCGGTCTGACCCGCTCTGTTTGTGATCAGGTAGAACTTTAAGGATCCACCGGAGACTAGAGTCCTTTATCCCCCCGTCACTGTTAGTGCTTGTTGAACCTCATACTACTGTGTAGATGCTAATATTTATTCTCCAAAATGCACATATGAGAAAGTCAAAATCCTATTTGTCCAAACAGGGATGGAGGCTGTTAATTACCCACCGTGGACTGAAAATAGGGAAGTAAGTAAAACAAACAAATAAAACAATTAACAAACACAGAAGCAGTTTGTCCTGCAGGTCTTCTCCTCTGCAGACCAAAGCAGACTAACTGAAGCAAACAGTTCTTACAAACAGAACCGACCAGTGAAACGGTTACAACACGCTGAGCTGAACACAAACAGCACAAAATGAAATGCTCAGTCAATCATCGTGCAATCATCAATGCAGAACAGAAAAATAATTTAAAACCACAATAAACCTGGAACACATTCTTGTGTAGCTGCTACGTCTCATCTTAATTAATGATTAAGGATGTTGGCAATTATTCAAAAAACAGAAAATGTTTTTGTCTGCCAGAAACCCAAATAAATGAAAAACTACTTCTGTATTGTGTTTGCATGTTTTTACCAGACGGGTAGAATTTCTGCTCGGCTGAAATCACATTAAGATTAATTTGATTTAGTTTTTGTTTTGAACTATTTCAATTCCTAGTTTTGAATTTTTCTTTTTTATTTGGTTCTGTGCAGCTCTTGGAAAATCTTTCAGGTTCCTCAAAAACAAGGAATTAAAAAGTCCTTCATTCATTTTCTAATCTACTGTAGGCAGCAACATGATAGTTCAGTTTTTCCTCACGTCTGGCATCATATGTTCATGTTACTTGTGTTTTTAATCGTCTTTATCGGTTCAGTCATTGATCAGTTTTCTTCTGCTGATCCAGAAGCAGGTTGTTTATTGATCAGGGCTGCAGCTGATGATTAGTTTCATCCTTAATCAGTTGTTCAGTTGATGCTGACGGTGAAGAGGAACTAAAATCTCTCAATATTCAATTTACTGAGACAAGAAGATGCAAAACATTCTGTTATCTGAGAAGCTGCAACCATGAAATGTTTGAAATGTTTGTTTAAATGTTGAAGTGGAGGCGCTGTGTTGACGAGAGATCTGTAGCTTCACCAAGAGTCTTATGAATACCCAGTGATTGCACCATTTTCTAAATAAAACCCTGCAGATGAAACTTCCGTCGCTAAAACCGACGTGTTTTTAGGCATCAGAGTTTGTAATTACAGGAATGAAACGTTTAGCGTCCACTGATCAGTGCAGATTCATCAGTGACTTGCATCATAACTGCATCATGAAACCTTCATGGGAACTCAGGATGCAAATTTAAATTATGTGCTTAACCGATAATTGGCAGCAATCATCAATCACTAAAAAAACAAAACAAACAAACAAATAGGCTAAAATTGTAAATAACACCCACATGAAAAATTAGTATTTTAAGAAATAATAAAACTTTCTTTGACAATATTTGGCTAAAAAAAAAAAGTGATTTTTAAAATATTTCTTTGTTTATTTTTATTGTATGCAATCAGGAGAAATATAATTAATTTACGGATCTTTGCTGTTCTGGGAAAGACAAATTATGTACGTTGAGGATTAAAATGGGGAATTATTATCATTATTATTATTATTATTTTCTATTTCTATTTATCTATCTCCTATTTCTTTATAGATTCTTTTGTATTTTTAAGTTACAGACAATAACTCGTAAAATAGGAGAAAAAGGGATTAATTTACATGATATCTTTCTACTTTTTCAAATGGCAATTTGCTCTTTTACAGCTTCTGGCTGTAGAATCACGCTGCCTTCATGCATTTAAAGCAGCAAAGAAATCACATTACAGATATTTGCTGTTATTTAAAACAAAATGTGTTTATTGAAGATTGAAAAATGATAATTATTCAACAGATTTTCCCTGTTTTTGTTCAATGACAGATAACTAGTAAAACAGAAGATACATGTTAATTATAAGAAAAACTGTTTAAATAACGTCCACGTGAAAAATCTTTATTTTTATAGATGGTAGTTTGGTCTTTTATGTTGTGTGACTGCTGCAGGGTGGTGCAGTTAGTAGCACTGTTGCCTCGTAGCTAGAAGGTCGCCGGTTCGCGTCCCGGTGAGGACACCCGGGATCTCTCTGCGTGGAGTCTCCATGTTCTCCCCGTGCAGCGTGGGTTCTCTCCGGGTTCTCCGGCTTCCTCCCAC